TTCGATGAAATTTGTACGTATATATTGAAATATTATCTAATTGCTCGTGCAATTAGAAAGATTGATCCCGAAATTGAGATATTTGCAACTGAAATTGATGATTTTTAATTCCTATTTTAATATTTTTTAAAATGAAAACAAGATTGTATGATGAAAAACTACCATGATATTAAAGACTAATATGCAGACATTATACACAAAGTTCAAAATTATTGGCCATTTTGTTTTGAAAATATAGCAGTATTAAGTTCATAATATATATAAGTTCATAATATATATACACATATATGTATATATACACATATTTAAATACTTATATAGCCTTTTCTGTTATCTGCGCATCTCTATTAGATTAACTGATGCATAAATATATTATTAATGAGAAAAATAAAAAATAATATTTTTGTATTTGTGATGTTATGTTAGTATTATATATGTTTACCTCAACTTTGTACTAAATTGACATTTATTCTTATTTATTTAGATAATGAAATAGAAATATGCAGACATAATTTTGCTTGATAAATATTAAATTTAAGAGTAGCTCTCTTGATGTGACCGAAAATACAATAATGAGTCTTATAACGTCGTTAACACGTTCACTACTGCTAGAGGTCACAAATGGTCGCGATTATCTTTTTCATTAATTTATGCATAAAGCATAATTATTCGTACTTAATTAACTTTATCGAATATTTTGAATCTGAGCCTTGAACCAATCTATGAAAAGCTTACCTTACAGTCAACGTGTTACTTCGTTCAAATTCGAAATTGCTTGTTTGAAAATTTTCCGAAATATCGGTTTCGCATTTGCCAGGGATTAAATATGCAACCAATAGGAAATTGCTGCAAAGTCAGATAACAAACATATGCATCAGGAAATGTATTTATTTCGCCGTAACTTTGATCATTCGAATTTCCATTGAGCTTCAGCACAATCTGTGAAAATCAGCTTAATAACGTATTGCCTCGTTCGAGCTCTAAATTTGAGTTTTCAGACCGGTCGCCTGACAATTCTGCGGAATATCAGCTTTATATTTCGCATCGTGGATTAAATATGTGACCAATAGGAAGCTGCTAAAGCCAGCAGTATATTTATTTCACCGTAACTTCAATTATTCGAATTTTCATTGAGTTTTCGGCATAATCTGTGAAAAGCAGCTTGGCAGTTAACGTGTTACATCGTTTGAGCTCGAAATGTCCAGATTGACCGGCCGCTTGAAAATCCCTGCGGAATATCAGCTTCACACGGCAAAAATACCGTTAGCGTAACTGAATTTCCCGTTTTCTGGGAATCAGGTGAAAACTCGGTTGTAGTAACGGGAAAGATTTCTGTATGAAGTTTCTATTCAATCAGCCGCTTTTAGTTGTCTTAACCAAGTTTTAAGGAGATGTCAAAGTCGATGAGGAACTCGATAAGAGTCAATAACGTAGGAGGGATTCTCAAAATATTATGTTACATAAACACTGTTATGACACGTCACTCTTCTTATATTTCTTGTGCATATGAATCTTATGTAAGTATAAACGCGATATAAATGCGAATGCGATAAGTCTAACCAAGGTGCGTGAAAATTTTTCTGCAAAATTTTTCTGCTACTTTTGTAGGTCTTTATTGGAAAAGTATAGAAATATTTTTTGAAATTTTCTTGATCGGAGCATTCAGTGCGCACAAGCTACAAAATATTTCTGTATCGGGTAAATATTTATCCTGACTGATAACTAGAGATGTCACTTTGAAATTTTTAGTCATTTTCGTCACATACTGAGGCAACGTTGCAATTAATTTTCGCTCGTACCTTCACTGTGTGAAAGTATTTATAATTCTGCGCGACCAACAAAGCGTAAACTTTGCGGAAAGAAATCAGTATTCTCTCTCGATAAAGTTTTCAAGTGTGGCATCCTCTTGATACAACTGAGTATTCACACGAATGTTCTCAGTCGCGGTAATAGAGATAATCGTTCCTTGTCATCGAGTTCTCATCTGGCTATTTCTATTCAGTTGCAGATTTTTTTCCCTGCATACACACACACTTGCGTCGCGTATTCGTCGTTATTCCACGTGGTCCATGTAGGCTTTCCCGACGTTTCTCTCTCTCTCTTTCTTAATGTTCTCACGTAACGCCACCGCACTTACCGGCGGGACGGAGGCGTCGAATAAACGTCGCAAATACCAGCGAGACGGCTTGCATCTCATCTCATCTTTCAATTGACATGAGAGAGCCCGGCTTTTCGCGAGATACCGCGAAGCTAAGAGAAACGGAGGAAAAAGTCCGAGCCCGATTCGGCGCGCGGCGTGTCGACCCGCTGACCTGGAACCCAGCATCTCTCTCTCTCTCTCTCTCTCTTTCTCTCGTGCTCGCGCGCGCTATCGGGTGATCCAATTTTCCGCGTGTCGTTGACTCCTTCCCGTATCAGGCCGCGCGCACTGGATGCTTCTCGTCCTGGATGGCCGTCATCGATTTCCAGGAGCGGAAGCCCCGCGGGACGCTGCAGGAGAGAGAAGGAGAGAGCTAACGTTCTCGCCTCCTACGTTGGATTTTCTCGACGTCCCCTGTCGCCCGAGGTACCAAGAAAAGCGCTCTCTCCCGCCCATCAGCGGGATAAAACTTGGACGAGTCTCGAGCGAGTCGTACTTGTCGCGCTAACGACTGCTGCTGGAATTGTTCGGACGGCCGGTGCGATCCGGACAGTTCCTCGAATTGGTTCCGAACGTGAAAGGAACCGAAGGGAAAGATGCAGGAAGCAAGCAAACCGAAGCTGTTTACTTTTCGCCGTTTACACGCGAATTCCACTCGCCACTCGAGCTCTCCGAGTGATTTCGCGAACGCTCGGACGTCACGAATCGATCTTTGATTCCGATCGAAATGTTCGCCGGAATCGGAAGCTGGAACCGTCTACAGCCGCGTTCGTGCGCGTGATTCGCGCGAATTTTTCGTTCGAATTCTACCAAGGATCGCGAGCCCGGCGGGGAAACCAGCGGCAGTTAAACGAGCAGCACCAGCAACAGCGACGACGGTCCGCTGCATTCGATACCGCTGCTACCGTATCGAAGCAACGCGAGACGATGCGAGACGTCGCGGGGGGATGAATCCTCGTGCAGTAACAAGAACCGTGATCTGGATATTCGATACTGGGTCGCTCGATCAAGGCTTTCCCGTGGTTCTTCCCAGTGTTGCCGATCTCTATTCCGGCCTGCTTCTAGAAGCTGCGCAACTGGAACGGCGATGTCGACGGGATCTTCGTCGTCGATCGTCTCTCTCTCTCTCTCTCTTTCACGCGCGCGCGCGTGTATTTGACTTGTATTGAAATGAGTATTTTTTCGGTTTTTTTTTATTATTTCGATTCGTCATTCTTGTCGCATATCTTTCAGACACATCGGATTTTGAACTTTGTATTGTATCACGCAAGGTTTTTATTTATAACATTGATTGTACCTACGTGTGTACTATCATTTTAGAGTTTCAGTTTCAAATAACTTATATCTAAACGCAAACTAATGTATTTTAATGCGCTTGGGGGGTAATTTTCTTCCCAGAGCGCAAAATAAATGTTGCTTCTCTTTCTCTCTCTCTCTCTCTCTCTTTCTTTAGGTACGCGAGATCGCGAAGAAAAGAGGTCTCGTCACGAAACCTGCCAGATATCGCTCCAGCGACACGATAATACGTCGTTCATCGTGTCCGTAATTGCCGATCCGCGATTCCGACGGGCCGGGTACGCGAAGTAGCGCCGGCCGCCAATTGCGAGCCGGCTCAATTCGAGACGTCTGTACGCGCACGAAGAGCACTCATCCTTGAGACTGATTGGCAACGTGCTCCCTGGTCTAATTCGGACAATTCTCTCTTCTTTTTCTTCTTCTTTGTTTTCCGCCCACGTCACGCGACGATCCACATTCGCGCGCTCGCTCACATTAATTAGCCGGTCGTCGCCGGGCGTCTAACTGTCGCAAAATCACGCGTAAATCATCGAAGCGCACGTTCGATGCGAGCACACGGACGACGATTGGTCGGCTTTAAAGGCGCTTTCACGAAGGACGCTGGTGGATGAAATAAATTTGCATCCAGGGTTCTCTCGGATATTCAGTCACACCGGAAGTGTTACCGCAAGAAACTTTGTTTATCGCAACTGTCGAAGTCTGCGCAGCTCTTATTGGCCGTTGCAACATTTCTAGATGCTATTGGATTTGAAGGATACGTGTTGTTAGGTTGATTGCAAACAATTGGTTATTTTTCGATTGAATTTTCGTTGGAAGTTCGGGCGGTAAAAAGAAAACCAGAAAGTCCTCGTTAGATGTCTAAGAAAATATCGAGTTGGTGTTATTCGTTCTGTTCGTAAAAATTATTAATCCTTCACGGAGAAAATGATCTCGCTGTTGTAGCGAAATCGTTGCTGCTGCACATTCGTTGCGGCAATAATAAAAATCTAACTGGCGCGACCAAATTAGCGAATTATTCGTAATCAGAGCGGAAACAGTTTTGTCGCCAGGACAGAAAATATTCTGCTGAATGAATTTGTTCCTTAGGACAAACACGTTAATTTAGCGTTAGATTCAGCGAAATAATCCAGCGAGAGTAGCGATCGGTATTCTTAACAAATTATTTTGCTGTCCATGTAACTGGCAGGTTTCATTGCGACAGCATAAAATTTTCTGTGCCAAGAGATTACTTTTCTCCGTGTTCAAAATCGAATAATTTTATCCTTCGTCTGATTTATTTGATGAACGGAGAGAAACGTCTTTTGCGCGCGCAACCTAATATTATCAGTCGTTATCAGGCGAGTTTTCAATCATAGTGTTTTGATATCCTGCATATTTTTTTATCTCGTGCCGTTCTCTTTTCTCCACTGTGTACTATGTACTCGATGTAAACCGTTTACCACGAAATCCCCGGTATTGACGCAGATGTTATTATCAGCAGGCCATTAATTGGACTAATATTATTAGAATTTCCCGATATATGTTCGCATTGCGAATAATTAACGAATATATTGATTCGTTGCAGGTGCAATTGGGAAATCACCGCGCCGCAAAATGGGCTGTGTATCGCAGTGCGCCAAGTACTTCCTCTGCCTGTTCAACTTTATATTCTTCGTGAGTATATGCAGCGAGTCTTTACAGTGGTAACTTCAAGCGCGAAGGAGTCCGCCGTGTCTGCATTTCGCGCCGCGATCGCGCCGCTGATAATTTATCAACCTCGCAACCAGCCGCGATCGCGTAAATGCATTTCGCTCGAACCCTCGTCTGAGGAACCATATGGTGCCGCGCACGTTCATTGTACGATTTTCATGGTGGTCCATTCTCGCGGATTTTCTGTTTATCGACGAATTCCCTCCGCTTCCTCGAGTTTTCCGTCACAAAAATATCTCTTCGTTCATTCAAGACGTAAGAAGATAAATACGTGAACATATCTCGGTAGGCAAATTTTATCAAACAACAAACTATACTTAGATTGAGTAGATTCTTAGTTTTTGAAATATAGTTCAGCTTTCTACATTAATTTTTATTCTTATGCGGGTCTTGCAAGCGCGATTACTTACGTATTATTTCTCCAAAGGAAATATCTATTTTTCCGTTTATTTAATAAATAATAATAATAATACATAAATAATAATAATATATAAGCTCTTTAGCTCTAATGGTATAACAATTTCGAAGAATTTTTTGTTAACGTTGAGAGCACCTCCTGGACCGAACGTAGAGCTGAAAATTACGAAGACAGATCTCTTGCAACGAAATAATATTGAATCGGAAAACCGTCGAAATGAGGGGGTGAGGGAGGGGGGCTTACCTTTTTATTATCTTAAGAAGGCTAAGGGAAATGAAACTGCTCGGCGATGAAAAAATCTGAACTCTGCCAAAGTCTCTTCGCGATTAGCTGCGATCTTGAGATATCGTTGGGTAATTTCGTCAGCTGCATCGCTGACACACCGTTGTTGAGTCACGCGGTATCTCCGAGCGAATCGACGGAAAATCGCAAGACGGCCGCTACGGAGCGAAGAGCGATCGCAGGTGAAACTTTTCGATCGCATGAATCGCGATTCCGCTGCTTCGCCACCGGGCAGAATACCGGGCTTGCCTCCTTTAGCCTTGAAGTCCGCGATGCAGAACGGAGACGTCCAACATTAAGTTCGTGCTTTGCAGATCGCCGGAGGAGCGGCGTTGACTGTCGGTATCTGGCTTTTCGCCGACAGGAGTTCCTTCACCAACTTGATCGGCAAACTCGACCAATCGGACATCTTGGTGAGTTTTACATCACGGAGAAATGATATGTAAAATATACAGGCTGAGGCAATCGATATTATCTCTTTGAATACCTCCTCGAGATATGGGAGGGGGAGAGCAATTTATCTAACCAAAATTCCATTGACATACCGATAGTCACTATTTCGGATGCTTTCTGTATTCTCTTGGAATTTCTTGGAGTGAAGTCCAAACTCTGCCTTTCACTCGAAAAGCAGAGTGACAGCTGAGTCACCGGATTTGAACGATTTTTCACTCGTATAGTGAATTCTCCGTTCTGAATTGTCGCGTGAGAATATTTTCAGTCGAAGCTAAAGAGTGAATTTAATGTATTCTACTCACAAAAGCAAATCCACTCTAATCAATTGAAATATTCACACATATTGAGTTAGAATTCAATTATATCTCTAAGCTTAAGTGAAACATAATGGTGATTTCGGGCAGCAATATTTTTACTATCGCTTCGGATGAAAATATTGCCTTTTTTCACTTGTTTAGAATCCGATTTTGTTCTAAGAAATTCAGAGAACAAATGTAAACTTTTTTCATCTTCATTCAGTGGTTAATTAAATATTTTTATTTTGCGAAGGCATTCAAGATGATATGTTAATAATGGTTATCACCTCACTCTGCATAGAGTAACTCAGATATTTATGCTGCGCGGGGATTTACGTCGTACAAGTCAGAAAAAATGGAAAAAAATGGGAGTAATTTACTTGCAATCACTTTGTTACATGTTTTTGTTATGTTAGTATTGTATCATGATTTCCGTTTTTTATTCTTAATACTAACGAAACTCTCGTGAATTAAATCGATTTCTCAATGTAAGTAGCGCAATCGTATATTGCGACCTGCTTGAAATGATTACTGTAGGGAATGTGAAAGGCTTAATGATTATTTTGCGATATATAAGTGTAGAAGGATATTAAAGGATGAGATATAGCAAAATATATACACAAGTTTAGCTCTTGTATTTTTTGTTAAGCTTTGATGTCTCGTATATTCCACCTGTTTGGGATATACGGCATTTTTAGCGTGCGGGATTTATGCCGCAATACAGATACTCTATAAAAAAACATTTCGGATTTGGTTTGTACAGTAAATATTGCAAATGTTATTGCACTAAGTAAGACAGAATTTTTATTTACGTTAAACATTTACAAATTACTTTTACTATTGCTTTTCGTATATTTATTTCTCATTCTTACATCCCAATCAACTTTTTGTACACATTTTATAAGTCACTGTATTATTTTACGTCATATTTATAAGTATTATTTATAAATTTTTTATAAGCCGTATATATCCCACCCCTATGAGACACATGGCAAAGATACAAAGGTTTCTAAAAGTTTTTCTGTTAAATATAAAAAGCAAATATTTCGTATTTCCAATTTTTTTATAGTAGTAGACAATGTACAGTTTTTATTTGTATAGTCCATTTGCCTTAAACATGATAAATAATACTTGATAAATTAAGTTTCCCTTAGATGCGGCGTATATACCGGAGTTACCCTATACGGCATGTTAAACCGCCCAGAAAGCTCGAGCTGTCGCGCGCGAGATTTTTAATCTTCCATCAGCACGTCGGAGTTGCGTCACGCCGATGTGTCGCGTGCTAAGTGTGCCCGCACAAGTAGCCCCGACCGGGAACGTGAAATCAGACCGAGATATAAAACAAACCGTGATAATTGATGGCCATAACACCGCCCTTAGAACGGCGATTACATATTTCAGTCGGCTTCACGGTTGCCAGTTTTATCGTCACTTCTCTTTACGACCGTCACTGCACGGTGGAAAACTGAAAGATAAGGGCATACTATTTCCGATCCGTCTCACATTGAGATACACTCGAAGGGAGGAGTGGAGGGGAGAAAGAAAAAATAGCTCACGCACGTGTGCTTATAAAATTGGTCGTTTATGTAACTCTAAGTTTCTCTCGCGCCACCGCGGTAATTATTTCATAAATATGTTACGTAATTTTTTTTTTGTGGTGGGTGCGACAACGTGGTTAGTCGACTCGAACGAAACCGGATTCGACATTCGCCAGTGCTGATCTTTGTGATACTCATACTGCTCTACTGCTTATCGATGAACAGAGTTAGGCAAATTGTCAGTTGATCTCACGTACTTTCTGATCGCAAAGTGGCTTTTGTCAGCAATGAGACGCTCCCTTCGCGATCTGCGTGTTGTAATGAGCTTCTGTCTCGTACGAACAAGCGATGAATCGTAAATATAATGTGCAAGTATAACGTGAGCTGTGTGACGTACGTAAGCAACGTGTCATTGTATATATCTTATCGATACGTTAGCGTCGCTATGACTCACGTGTATTAACGTGTGTAATTTTCCCGACGGATATACACGTCGATGGGTCGATACGCGAGACACGCGAAGCGTATTCTTTCTGAATTCCCGAGTTGTTTGTTGTTATTTTTTCCACGAGGAGAGGGAAAAAGCTTGAGACTTCGGGAGCCAGTGACTACGAAGGAAGGCGAGACGGATGCCTAATTAATTAATACGGGTCAAAGGAGCTAATTTCTTAGGGACAGAAGCTACTTTTGATCTACAAAACACAGAGAAAATGGGTTGGTTGAGTTAATAGCATTTTGGTTGAAGGAAGCAGAATTTCTGCTTCTTACGAACCGGAAATTTTATTTTTCTCAACCAAAACGTGTCTGGCTCGTTCATTGGCATGTTAATTCATTTAATCTTGTTTTTTCGTGCAAAAACGCGAACCCATATGGTTCTTTTCGCCCAAGTCTCGCCGTTGGTCTGGTCGTTTGCAGTCATCTTCAAACGAATGACGTTTTCTGTTAATTTCCCTTAACAGAGGTAATTTTCGAGGTGTTGGTGTTTATCTTCGGAAAATCTAAAAGAGATGCTTATATGCAGCGCGCATCGTGCATATTACACAATCGCCATGAGCCGTGTAAAGATACGAGGTAATCTACGTTTAACGAGGTGCTTGACTCTATAAACGGCGAGGAGAAGAGACGTAAAAAGAGAGCGGCTCGCTTTAAAGACCGGCGCGGTTAACAAGAACAATAGGGAATAGAGCGACTTCCTTCGAATAATTACTACTCCGAGACCTTTTCCTCCCTCGTGCACGTCTCTGGTTGTCTTTTAGTGGCGCAATCACGTGCCCGTATATGCATAGAATAGCCTTGCCTCTTTCTATTCTCGCACCGTCCCTACGCACAGGTTGAACGAGATTCAGCGGACTCCCCCTAATTTCACGAATAAATCGAATTCGCGATCCTAATCGAACACAAGTAGAATTTATTCGTTATCTACAACTACGACCGGATTTTCAAGTTTTATTTTCTTCATTAGTAAGAACAAAATAAATAATCATACTTGATCATTAATCCTCATTTATAATTATACTGTAACAAGACAGGTCAACTTTTTGTAAAAACAAAACTGGTCGAATAATTTATAATATATCCTTCTGTGATATATTTTTCTATAATATACAATTTATAGAAGAATATACTATAAAATACATAATAATTTTTTTCTATAAAATTCTTTTTCCTTATTTTGACTTTTTCGTTGCTCGAGGCGAGACCTGTCGAATCTAGGAAACGATATCTTGCTCGTCGCGAAAAAGCAGCCGATACGTGCAGCAGAGAGATTTTTAGCGAAAAAGAAAGGAGAGGAAAACAACGAGAAGACTTTTTCAGCAATTTCAAACAAAAACGTACGTGCGGGTAAGAAAGTGCGCGTCACTAATTAGCCAGAAGGTGACGGTATCGTAACGGACGCTTTCTAATACGGGTAGCACCGGTTTCGAGGCTGCTTATCACTCGGCAATTAACATCTGTTCTGGTTTCACCTTATGATTATGATGAAACTCGGGTACGCACGGCCGTCAGAAGCGAGCGCTCGTGTCCGAGGAACACGCTGGACACGCGACAAATCTCGGCTCGATCGTATACTCTTCGGCTGGAAGGCACGGAATATAACAAGCCTCTGTGCTCCATTTATATATACACCGCTTATTTCGAGGTAATTGAACTATCAAAGAATTGGCGACGATGGGCTCTCTACGGCAATAACTCGTATTCCGTTACCCGTATCTCCATTCTCACTCGAATTGATCGTACATTAAATTCGATCCGTTCGTCATTGAGTTATCGTCGCTCGGCGAACGCTGAAAGAAATGGAAAGAATTAACGATAAAGAAGAAGGAAGATAAGTAATAACGGATGACCGAAGTAAAGGTAAAAATAAGGATAGGAATCAACAGCTGAGAGACAAGCGACCAGAAAGTTCTTCGATGTGAAATTTTAATTCAGCGGAAAAAGACCGGTCGAAAGTGGGTCAAATGTGGGTGCAAGCGCGAGGAAAACCTCGGGTCCGCCAGTTTCTTGCCAGATATCGCCCCCGTCAATCTGATGTCATGTATCGGTGTTATAATTATCAATAACCCGTTATCGTAAGTAGCTTGATGAAAAATAAGTTTCGAGGAAAATACGAAAAATATGATCGTTCGCCTCTAATTTCCTTGTACGAGTCGACTCATCATTACGCATTGTTGCACTCTCTGAAATCCTGATCTTTTTCACGAATATTCTCGCGGGTACTCGTGATATATTCGATCGTACAGATCGAACATCATGTTTATACTCAAACAACTACATTGAGAGAACGAATATCTAAAAAATAAAAAAAATATCTATTCCGTGGAAGTACTGATATATATTTATTCAGACCTAAAAAAAGATTTTTTTATTTGGACAAATTAAATAATTTCTCTCATTAACAGCTACGGATTTAAGGAAATTAATATTTTCTCATTTGAAAGAAATTTTTTCTCAGTGTAAAAATGTGAACATTAGTGTTAAGCAAATATATTATCGGTACTCCTCACTGAACAAATAATTGTTTACTTTTGCAGATATTTTTTTCTCACTGTACTCATCACGTAGATCCACCGCTTTCTTCCCTCCTCGTGTTTTCTTCTCACGCAGGGGTTTTATGTTTCGTTTAAT